TGTTTGCTTGTTGTATCAACTTCAAGGAATTGTAGTTGTTATGTCTTCTTCCCCACCCCCGTTTTTTTTGGGTTTTTTTTGTTTGTGTGTGTGTGTGTGTGTGTGTTTGTGTGTTTATTTATTTATTTTTAGCTCCCACCAATAAGTGAGAACATGTGGTATTTCTCTTTCTGTGCCTGACTTGTTTCACTTAATATAATTCTCTCAAGGTCCATCCATGTTGTTGGAAACTTCACTAACTTTTGACTCTTTTATCCTCCACATCTAAGTGTACCATGAAGAATAGCCAACCCTGCCATCAGAATACCTCTCACTTCCTTACTTTCAATTCTCACTGCATGTATACAGTTTAGACTTTTTATTTATTTATTTTTTATTTAAAAGATGACCGGTAAGTGGATTTCAACCCTTGGCTTGGTGTTGTCAGCATCACGCTCAGCCAGTGAGCAAACCGGCCATCCCTATATAGGATCCGAACCCGGGGCCTTGGTGTTATCAGCACCACACTCTACCGAGTGAGCCACGGGCCGGTCTAGTTTAGACTTTTTAGAGTCTGGCTCTGAGTCTTGGAAAGCAGATCACTACAGTCCTTTTTATGAAACTTGATGTAACCTCAATCTTTTCAACACATCGCACAGGCAGACACTATCAATCCATCAGGCTGGCACATTTGATGAAATCCATTTGCTGCAGGTGGGCTTTGAACCAGCGCTTCCAAATTAATTTCCTCACCTTCACTCTTTTTCTGCTCAATCAATTATCCCTGTAGTACTACTGGTTTTTAAAATACACCTCTCCACCCTTGAAAACATTGCTGCCTGTCTCCAGAATAAATTTCAAACTTACATACCATTCAACATTTAAAAAAAATCATGACTTTGCTAAACCTGCAACTTAATATTAGCTTTTAAGTCTCTGCTTACCCCATTGTTCTGTTGAGAGAAGCATTTCAGTATGAATTAACTGTTCTTTTACAGTACATGTAGCTCATTAATGATAATACAGTACTTGTTTGATTTTGCCTTAGCCTGACATATTCAGCCCCCTAACCAGCAAGGAAATAAGCAGCCTTAGCTTATCCCACTAGCACTAAAGATTTCTATAGGGTCATCTTTCTTCTTCATTCTCTGCTGGGAATTGGTTACCTGTGTATAGCATTCGAGGTTTACAAATGCTTTCTCATACACAATCCTATTTTAATTTTGGACATCACGAAAACTCAGGATGTACATGAATTTTGGCAGGTAATTAAACAGGGTTCCAAATCCATGCTTTCTGAATCAAAGTCTTATGCTCTTTACCTTTATACTATCTTACCTTCCTCTCTGTTTTCCTTCTAGTCACATCATTGCCTACCTCCCTTAGCACTTTCTGGTATTCACTCACTCTCTCACCATATTTTTTCTCTTCACATTAGCTTTATTTTCAGATTCTCTTCAGATTACCTTCACTTATTGTAATTTAAGTTTTACTGATACATAAGCAATATATGTTCATTTCTGAAAAAACGGAAATGCAGAAAAACATACTGAAAATTAACTTCCTTACCCACAGATTATTACCATTAACAGTTGATGAATATAATTCCAGTTCTATTTTCTGTGTGCATACATATTTATATAGGCAGCTGGCCAGTACAGCGGAAATGCAGAAAAACATACTGAAAATTAACTTCCTTACCCACAGATTATTACCATTAACAGTTGATGAATATAATTCCAGTTCTATTTTCTGTGTGCATACATATTTATATAGGCAGCTGGCCAGTACAGGGATCCGAACCCTTAACCTTGGTGTTATTAGGCTGCGCTCTAACCAACTGAGCTAACTGGCTAGCCCTGTGTGCATATATATTGACAAATAGAGATACTGTACTTATTTCGTAGTTAAGCTGTTTTCCTTTAACACATTTTGAACACTGCCCTGTGATTAATATTTAACATCATTTTTAGTGACTATATGATATAGGTCCCATTGGGTAAATATGCCATTCAAAATGCTTTTTAAATTTTTTAGTTGCAGTGCTGGTGGGTTAGACTTTTATAATTATCACTGCCCCTAAAAAGCATTCCTTTATTCCAATTTATTCAGACCTTCAGCTTTTCTTAACTTTTTTCAATCAATGATCAGTCTCCAATTCTTTATTGACTTCTGGGTTGGTAACGGTTCTTGATAAGACTGCTAGATTTCTGGGTGTTCAATCTCCAAAAATTACTAAAATAAAATCTTTACACTGGGGACTCTGTTACATTGACAGCTATTTTATTTATAATAAAAAACAGCACACATTATGTGGAGTAAAGTTTCTACATTATTAGTAGTGATTATATTTATTGTACTTTTTTTCAATGCAAAATTCAAATTATATTCAAAGTAAGGGATAATTAAACATATATAAAGTAATGGTCTTTTGCTTTTAAAATTTACCTTCAGTATATCCATCAATCAATGCAAATTTAGTGAGCACAAGTACAATGACACAAGGGCAGTGGTCATAATAAAACTTGGAATCTGTACTAATTGTTTCAATAATGCATACCAAAGAGTGCTGAAGCAAAACTTAATGACTATTTCAGAGTAACAACTGAGATCAAGAGACTAAACTAGGCATTGGCAAATATTCCAGAGGCCTGTTTTTGTATAGCCTGAGTGAAGAATGTTTTTTTACATGTTTAAAGCGTTGTAAAAAAAGAAAAGAAAAAAAAATATGCCATAATCTCTCTGTAGCTTACAAAGCCAAAAATACCTACTTTTTTGGCTCTCTACAGAAAAAGTTTGCCAATTCCAGATCTAAACTATAGGACTATAAAAAAATACACTCACAAGGTATTTTAAAAGTATGTATATAATTATAAAACAGTGCGTATATACATAGAAAAAGTAGCCATGTCTTAATTCTCCTTTCAGCTTGGCTTCAAATAACAGTGAAACCTGTTTTTTGTTTTTTCTCTGAAGATGTGGATAAATACGAAGAATGACAATTTAAAAAGGAGCTAAATACGTAAGAAAACTGGTCAGTGACACAGAAATGAAAAAGAATGAATATAGGATCATAGAATTTTAGAACAGGATGGGACCTTAAAAATCATCTAGTCCAGGCTTCACATTTTAGAGATGAGAAAATTGAGTTCCAGACCTGGCAACTGACTTGCCCAAGGTCGGCCAACTAATTTCCTATAAAGCTAGGATGATAACCTAAGTCTATTATTAGGTCAACAGTGATAGGTCAATATTATGTCAGCAGATGAAGTGAAAATGATAAGTCAATATTACAATGTATATTTTTTCCATTTAAACATATATGGAAGTTGCAAAAATAGGACATCTCTGACACATCTACAGAAATAAATCCTTTTATTTCATAACATTCCTTTTCTTTTTTCAGATGCATACAGTACTTGTAAGCCCAAGAATTCTGAGAAAAGCTATAGAAGACCTGGTACTATTTTTGGGAATTACACAACTGGGCAGCAAAATAACACCTTTATAAATGTCAGGACATATAGAAATAAAATTTAGTGTTTGCACACAAAAATAGGAAAGTTACATTCAACACGTTTTCTTAAACGTGCATTTAAAATGTTTAATATTTTCTAAAACTTTGGTCATCATGCTTTATTATAACTTGTAAATTTCACAATTATGTAGATAATTAAACCCAAAAGGTAAGTGAATACATCACATTAACACAGCAGCAAAAGCAAGCTAATACTGCACAATCATATTAGTGAACTGATTCAGAAATACATATTTTCACAAATAGCACACAAAACCTAGTTTGTGATAACATAGTTCAATGACTTTTCTTCCACTTCATAAAATAAGGCTGAGTAATGAGACATAGCAGAACATGATTACATAACAAAAAGTATATTTTTAATTACAAATCTAATTGTACATATAGGGCAACAAATTGCAGTTTCTACAGAATAGTGCAAATGAGCAGGACTTATCTCAAAAATATTAAAATCGGATTCATTCCACGTGCCTCAGATTTCATAAATATTAGGTTATATTAATTATTTTAGGTTTTTGTGTAATGGGTACAAGTGGTAGGGTTTTTATAGGACAGATGTGCACTCACAGACTGCAAATAAAAATAGCCATTGCTTCAATTTACTGGATGTGAAGTGCAGGCACTGAAAATGTAACTTTAAAAAAGTTTGATTTGTCATCATGTAAACAGTTTTGTTCATCATACCATATTTTATCAAAGACTCATAATTCATTTAAAATTGTCATATCTAGCAATTCCTCTAAACTCTTTTTGATATGTGGTGGTTGAGATGCAGCCTGATTTAACAGATTCTGACCCATCTGTGCAAAAAGTGCTTTTGATAATTTAGCTGTGGCTGTTCGTATATTTCCTCCAGCTCCAGGCAGAGACCCACTATTTGTCATGTTCCCTAAGAGGTGCCATAAAACGACCAACACTTTCTGTTCTGTGGCATGGGGTTTCCTTTGATAAAGTTCCATAACAATATCTGAAACACAAAAATATGGTAAACGGTGAGGGTATTTTATAAAACAAATTCAAGTTCTGCTAATTAAAAAGCACCTAAAATATCCTAAGTTTCTTCCCTATGCCATTTGTCCTAAAAAGTTAGGCTTCTTAAAATAACTAAGATCAAAAACCTTCCTCCCAAAGACTGGGATCTTCAAATATAAGAATTTAATTCCATACATGATTAGTTCAGGCAAAAGTGGTAAGGAGAAACACTGAACCCAAAATTCATCTCAATGTTTTTCAAATGTAGTTAAATAAAAATTTACACATTTTAAACCCAAGGTCCTTTTATCAAACACAATTTTGAAATAGTTTTCTATGAGCACCAATATTTGATTTTAATGTCTTTTTATTTTTTCTGTATTATTTCTACTAACTGGAAGACTAAACATTTACTGGAAAAAAAATTCTTTTGAAGAAAATTTTGGGGGTAAAAATCTGAAAAGGTCCTCTTGTGGATTAGTATACAATTTATTTCTACTTCGTGGGTAATATTGAATTAGTAGCTATCCTAAAATTAAATTGAAATACCTATCAGCTTATCTTTAGTTACTAAAATATGTTTTTAGAAATTAAAATTAAGAAGTATTTACCAGCAAGCTTTTCTGTCATATCCTGTTTTGCTTTTCCATTTAAAAATTGAGCTTTTGTGCAAAATGGCTGTAGTAGTAAATAATTGTCTAAATGAAAAGAATAATACAGAGACTCATGGTTAAAGAGTAATAAGATCTTACATTTTCCATTACATAGCATTGAAAGGAAAAAGAAAATTCACTTCTAGGATGCAAATGTGTTAAGTTTCTTTAACCTACCTAGCAGTTAACCACTATTTAAAATTCTGTATAAAACCTTAGCACAATAACATTCTTACAGCAAATGAGAAATAAAAATACCTCACAGAGTATTAAAAGAGCTATCATGTGGTATAAAAGAGAAAAGGAATTGCCTGTTTTCTAAGTATCTTATTCCAAATGATAGTACAAGTTTATCAAAAAACAAAAAAAGAATTGCTTTCTTTGGGGTTGTTTTTACCTTTACTGATTTTTTAAAAGTTTTCATTTTGAAATAACTGTAGATTCACAGGAAGTTGCAAAGATAGTACAGAAAGATCCTTTCTACCTTCCACCCGATGGTTATATCTTACAAAATTATAGTACAATATCAAAACTGTATGTATGTATAGTTCTACTTCATTTTATCACATATGTAGATTTGTGTAACCATCACTGAAATTAAAGAACTATTCCATCACCACAAAGATCTCCCTAGTGCTACCTCTTTACGGTCACACTCACTCTCTCCTCCCCACCACGCTTAAACCCCAGCAACCTTCTTTGTAATTTTGGTATTTTTGAGAATGTTATATAAATGAAATCCTACAGCATAAGACCTTTTCAGATTTGCTTTTTTTCACTAGTATAATGCCTTTGAGATCCTTCCAAATTGTTGCATGTATCCGGTTCATTCCTTTTCATTGCTAAGTAGTGTTCTATGGTACAGATGTATCATAATTTGTTTTAGCATTCATCCCCTGAATGACATGAGTTGTTTCCAGTTTTTAGATATTACAAATAAAGCTGCTATGAATAATTGTGTATAAGTTTTTGTATGGACTCGTTTTCATTTCTCTGATATAAATGCCTACGAGTGCAATTGATGGGTTATATGGTAAGTGTATGTTTAGTATTTTAAGAAACTGGCAAACTATTTTCTAGAGTGGCTGTACCATTTTATTTACATTCTCACAAGCAGTGTATGAGAGATCCAGTTTCTTCAACCTTGTCAGAATTTGGTATTGTCACTAGTTTTTATTTTAGCTGTTCTAATACTTGTGTAGTGATCAAGGTCTTAATTTGCATTTACATTTCCTTAATAGCTAGGATGATGGTTAATTTTAGGTGTCAACTTCACTAGATTAAGGAATACCTAGAAACCTGGTAAAGCATTATTTTGGGGTGTGTCTATACGCGTGTTTCCAGAGAAGACTAGCTTGTGAGCCTGAGTGGACTGGGTGGGAAAGATCTGCTCTCAGTTTTGGCAGGCACCATCCAATCTGATGTGGGCCTAGAGAAGAACAAAAGTGGAGCACAAGGTGAATCTCTTACTCTATCCGCTTGAGCTGGGGTATACTCTTCTCTCCTGTATGTAGGCATCAGAACTCGAGACTCTTCGGCCTTGCAGGTTCCAGAAGTTACACAAGCAACATCTCTGGCTCTCAAGCCTTTGTCCTCAGACTGAGAATCACACCATTGGCTTCCCTGGTTCTGAGGTTTCCGGACTTAAACTGAGCTGCACTACTGGCATCCAGTTTGCAGAAGACCTATCTTGGGACTTCTCAGCCTTCATGTGTGAGCCAATTCCCCTAATAAATCTCCTCTTATATATTTATATACATATCCTATTGGTTCTGTCTCTCTGGAGAATCTTGACTAATACAGCTGGTAGTGTTGAACATCTTTTCATGTGCTTATTTGCCATCCACATGTTCTTGTAGGTGAAATGTTTCATGTCTTTTGCCTGTATCCTAATTGGATTGTTTGGTTTTTTAATGGTGAATTTTGAGAGTTCTTTATATATTCTAGATACTGAGTTCTTTGTTAGATATGTGGTTTGCAAATATTTCCTCCCATTCTGTAGTTTCTGTCTTTATCCTCTTAACAGGATCTTTTGAAGAGCAAATTTTTAAAAATTTTAATGAAGTCCAATTTGTGGACTTTCATGGATCATTCTTTCAGTGTCATGTCTAAAACTCTTCACCAAGTCCTAAGGACCTGAAGATTCTCTCAAGTTAACTTCTAAAAGTTTTATAGTTCAAGCTTTACATTTAAATCTATGATTCATTTTAAGTTAATTTGGTATCAGATATGAGGTTGAGGTAGAAAAAAAATAAATTTAAAAAAAGAAAGAAAGAAAGAAAAGAAAAAGTAACTAAAAAGTTGAAGATAAGGGAAGAGAAAGTCAGTTGGACAGGATAGTTTTAATCACTAAAAATAATTAAAAATACTATTGAGAAAATTAAAAATTTTTATGACTGTTAAATTAAAAAATTGAGTAAGTAGGATTTTAGCCTTATTAAAAACATGTGGAATCAGAAAGTATGGAAGTAAAGTCAAAGTAATTTGAGTGCCAAAGTAAGATTTCTTACCTACATGCTGACTCAGTGCCTGAACAACATTTGTAGCAGCAGCGTAGATGCCTGGATTCTTGGAATTCAGATTGTTATCCACTATTGCTGGAATTAGCATGTTGATTATAGGAGATAAGTTATCTCTCAGTAACGGAATCATTTTGTGCATTGTTTCTAGAGCCACCAGATTTACTTTACTATTGGAATCATGAAGTCGAGATTTAAAAGCATCAAAGATCTGAAAGTAAATTGGTATATTATTTAAAGTGAAATAATGTTTATAACTATTATATTTAAATTCTCCTAGCATTTCCTAGTATTTCTCCTACTTTACTCTTTTTAAACACACACACACACACATATCCTATTTAACCTGAACTTAGATAATAAGAATTTTATGAAAATTTGGATGGTATATCTGTGTGTTGAATCTTACAGCAAAAAGAGAATGCTTAAAAAATCACCTCAAAAGACATTATAATAAATTAAGGTTGAGAAATGTGGCTCAATAGGCAGATGACTGACTTACTGTAAATATGATAAACATGCTATTTTCTGTAAGGTGCAGGTTAGCTTAGCTTAAAGATTTGACCTAGTCTCAGTTTATGTTTGTTTTGATAATTTTATTTTATTTATTAATTTATTTTTTTGTAGCTGGCCAGGAAGGGGATCTAAACCCTTGACCTTGGTGTTATCAGCACCATGCTCTAACCAAGTGAGCTTACCAGCCAGCCCTTGTTTTGAGAATTCTAGATGCAATTTCAGAGTTAAATTTTTATTATTACTTGTTAACTTGGTTAACAATTATTCCTTGCTTTTCAGAATCTGTAACTTTTATAAACTCAAGATATAATAAAGTGAATGCTAAACAAGTCTTTAATCATGTCAGGTAAATGAAAAGCTACCCTATGAGGCTGAGGCTTTAACTAATAATTTCCGATATCTACTTATTTATTTATTTACTATTTTTCATGTTAAGAATAGTCTTCCCAAGAGATTTATTTTTATTCAACAGATATGAGAAATGTGACAATGATATACTGTATTCTGAAAATTAAGAGAGAACACTAGAATTAAAGAGTAGCTTAGCTATGGTATGTTTCCCAAGTTAAGGAATATTATACAAATTTTAAATGGAATTTAATTAGTAAATTACTAACAGAATTAACTAAACTAAATTCTAATGAGGCACAAATAATCTATGCTTTGGTACTGTGAACATTTACTATTTCCAATTTGTTTGCTTGATGCCTAAAGAGAGTATATAAATTGGTATGTAGAGATTTCTAACCCACATATGGAAACGTTTAATATCTATTCTAAAGCAATATCAAGTCTCTTAAAATATTTATTGATTCACTTGTCATATATTTACTGAATGCCAGGTTCTGAAAATTCCAAGAATACAGAGCTTTCAAGGAGCTTACCATCTTGTAGGAGGATTCACACAAATAAGAGGTTATTTTCTTGTTTTTTTTCCAACTATTTTGTGTTGTTCTAACATGTTTTATCACAGCAAAACACAAACAATCCATTCTTTTCAACAAACATTTTAATACTTTAAGATAATATATGTAAAGTACTAAGATTTAGGGCAAATTTTTTATACTAATCAATGTAGTTGGCCACAGGTTTCAAATGAAAATTAATTTTAACAGGTCCTTACCTTTACAATGTTTCCAACAACAAGCTCTTGATTATTTTCAGTATCTGATAAAAGCTGTTTAATCCCATTTATGCGATCACGAAAGTCTTTTGCATTTAATAAACCTGTTATGACTTTTATGTACTCAGCACTTTCTAAGGAATTACGAGGAATTGATTTTCTGTTGACTTCACGAATTTCAGTTACCTCTCTAAAGTGAAAGAAAAGTAAACTTATTTTTATTTCCCTATAAAAACAAACATAATAAAAATTCTCATTATAAATTCATTATTCAAAAATTTATAAAATGATGTAATCCACAGTCATAATATCTGTATTGGAGGTCCCCAAAATCTCCTATAGGTTTGGTGATTTGCTATGAGGACTTGTAGAAGTCAGCATATAGTTTTATTCATGGCTAAGATTTATTACAGCAGAAGGATACTAATCAAAATTAGCAGAGGAAAAATACTCCTGGGTCAAAGTCCAGAGGAGATCAGATGCAAGCTTCTAAGGGTCCCTTCCCAGTGGAGTCACACAGGACACACTAATTCCTTCTGCAATAAGATGTGACATAAAATGTTGTCTACAAAGGAAGCTTATTAGAGACTTTGCCCAGGGTTTCTGTTGAGAGCTGGTCATGTAGGCACTCTCTGCCTAGGCCATACCAAAATTCCAGACTCCCAAAAGGAAAGCGGGCGGGCTGGCTGGTTAGCTCAGTTGGTTAGAGCACAGCCTTATAACACCAAAAAGAAAGCAGGTCTTCAACATAAACCATATTGTTTGCCCAAACAAATTAGGTGCAGTAAACTATCTTTTCAGTTAGGGAATGGTGAAAATCCTCTTGAAATCTTAAGTTTCCAATGCCAGCCACGGGCTAACCTTTGGCCTTTTTAAGGATAGCAGGCTCAGGACTGCTATGTTAACTCTTTTCTGAACAGGTTCTTGGCCCCTTGAGATCTAGATACATTTAATTTGAGCCTCTTTTCCCAATTCCATGCTCTCTGGAATATTAAGTGAGCTGTTTTTATCAGGAAATAGTTAGAATCCTTCTAAAATCCAAGTTCCCAGATGTCATTGAATGGCCCATCTCTCTAGGCAGGTCTTTCTGAAGCAGTCTCAGGCCTGCTATGTTAACTCTTTTCTGCAAAGTACCCATGTGAACATGCACAGGAAAATGAGACCAGCAGGACTTATTACGGCAATGATTTAGTAGCATCATGTTTTTCATGACTACAAAGAGGTAACTCATATTGGCAGATGATGATCCCTTTGAAACTAAAAGTAATGCAAATTGTCAGATCTTGAGAACAATGGTAACAATTACCAGTTACTGTCACGTCTATGACTAGCATTATTATGGGCAGGGATTAATGAATGACTCAGAATCATCCTGAAAGTGGACACAGGACAGTGACTTAAAATGTGGATCCTAGATGTATTTATCATTAGTTTTAACTTTTTTAAGTAAATTAATCTGAGGTTAATTAATTATATATGATGAGCAAAATAGAGAATTAAATTTATATTTAAACTGAGGGCTATATGATACATAAAAGGTGGATAAATTAAAAGAGTAAAACAGAAAAACATCGCAAGGTGCTATCTAATTACTGAAACTGGTCTTGAAAGATGGCTTTTTTGGTTCAAAACAGGGTGGATTTGATAGCAAAATAACACTCAACACATCTTAGGGGCAAAAGGATAAAGTAACAGCCAAATGGAAGGATTCACTAGGTATATAAACATTAATAAAATTTAGAAAAATTTAAGATATTAAGAATGAACACAGTTCATGGCAGCATTATTTATATAAGAGGTCTTAAAAAGTTCATGGAAAGACTGTATTATCTTTTAATTCTATTTTTCCACAACCTTTCTGAAGTACCCTCTTACAGATTGACTATTCAAAGCAAATTTAATGATAATGTATTAAAGGGATTATAATATATAGAGAAGAAAAATGCATAACAAAAAACAGCATAAAAGATGAAAGTAGAGAAATGAAAGTATACTGTTGTAAGGTTTTTACATTATACTTAAAGTGGTCTAATATTTGAAAGTAGACTGTGAAACAGTAAAGATGCATATTATAAAGTATGCATATTCTAAAGCTGAGATCATCTCCTTAAAAAAAAAAAGAGGCATAGCTAGTGAAGGAAATAAATGGAAGACCAAAATAACACCTCCCCCCCAACAACCCAAAAGAAGGCAGGAAAAGAAGAAAAAGAAACAAAATATATAGGGAAAATAGAAAAGTCATTCAAGGTGACAGTCTTAAACCCAACCGTATAAATAAATTAAATATAAATGGTCAAATACCTCAATTAAAAGGCAGAGATTGTTAGATTGGTAAAAAGGCAAGACTGAATCACATAATGCATACAAAAAAACACACTTGAAAGAAAAAATTATTCTGACACTTGTTAAAATGGTAAGCAATACTTTATTCAAGATTACTGCAATAGAGGTCATGACTATTGCAATAAGGAAAAGAAACTGCTCAACTCTGAATACAGGAAATTTATAGACAGGGATTTAATAGACAACAAACAGAGTGAGGGGATCAGTAGATAAAAAATTACTAAGCAGGGATAGCAAGGTTAGGGAGTTTCTTGCTAAACTGGCCTAATAAGATTCTTACTGGGCCGGCCCGTGGCTCACTCGGGAGAGTGTGGTGCTGATAACCCCAAGGCCCCAGGTTCGGATCCCATATAGGGATGGCTGGTTAGCTCACTGGGTGAGCGTGGTGCTGACAACACCAAGTCAAGGGTTAAGATCCCCTTACCAGTCATCTTTAAAAAAAAAAAAAAAAAAAGATTCTTAATAAAGGCAGGACTTATACATCAAATGTGGCAGATAAGGAACTTGACCGATATCAAGATCGATCACATATTGTGGGGTAATGGGAACGACTTAGGAGGGTACTTTGCTAAGACATGGTTAAGAAGGCCAGGGATAGGGCCCAAAGACAAGACCTCATTGAAAAGAGGGCTCGGGTCAAGGACAGTCTTTGTCGAATAAGATAGCTGTTTACCTACTGTAATAATAAGGGTTGGTGAGGATATGGAGAAATTGGAACCCTCTTACACTGCTGGTGGGATGTAAAATGGTGCCAGTTTGGCAGAAAGTGAGGCAGTTCTTCAAAAAGTTAAACAGACTTATCACTTGACCTAGCAATTCCACTCCTATATATTCAAGAGAATTAAAAACATATGTCCACATCAAAACCCAAATGTCCACCAACTGATGAATGGATAAACAACATGCAGCATATCCACAGAATAGAATATTACTCAGCCATAAAAAGGAATGAAATATTAATACAGTTTGCATGATGAGCCTTGAAAACATAATGCTAAGTCTAAAAAGCCAGTCACATATCATATGATTCCATCCATCTGAAATGTCCAGATTAAGCAAATCCATAGAAACAGAAAACAGATTGCCTAGATTGCCTAAGGTTGAGGGGTGGTGGGGAAATGGGAAGTGAGTGCTAATGAATATGAGACTGCTTTTTGGTGTGATGAAAACGTTCTAAAATTGATTGTGATTATAGTTACACAAGTCATTGAATATACTAAAAAAACATTAAATTACATGCCTTAAATAGGTCGGTTATATGGTACATAAATTACATTACTATAACACTTGATTAAAAACAAAAGACATACCATGCAAATGCTATCAGAAGAAAATGGTTAATAGTAGACATAACAGACTTCAGGACAAAGAATATTAATTACTGGGGTTAGAAATACTTCACAATGACAAAAGGGTCAATTCATCAAAAAATTGCGACTATCTAAATGTACTTGAACCTAATCACATTGCATCAAAATACATGAAGCAAAAAGTATTTATTTATACCTGGAAGTATAAATAAATAAATCCACAAATGTAGTTGGGGATGTCAATGCCCCCATCTCAGCAAATGATAGAATAAGTAGACAGAAAATCAGTAAGGATATAGGAGACTTGAATAACAATTAATCAACTTAACCTAACTAACATTTTATAGAATACTACACCCAACAAGAGAAGAATATACATTCTTCAAAGTAGTATAAAATAGTCACTAAGATAGAACACATGCTGAACCATAAAACAAGTCTCGATAAATTTAAAAGAAGTGAAATCATATGGAGCACGTTCAATGACACCACAGAATAAATTAAAAATATTAACAAAAAGATATTTGGAAATTAATCACACTACTAAAAAGCTGCTGTATTAAAGAAGAAACCCCAAAGGCATTACCAAGCATTATGCCAATACCAAAACCAAAGATATTCAAAGACAAGAAACTACAGACCTCTTGAATACAGACACAAAAATACCCAAATAATCTTAGCAAATCAAATCCAGTGTCATATTAAAAATATAATACATCATCATGATCAAGTGGGGCTAATCCAAGAAATACAAGTTATCTTTTTTATTGTTATTGTTGTTTTTTGTTTTTGTTTTTTTCACGGCTGGACAGTACAGGGAACAAGTCACCTTTTTTAACATTTGGAAATCAATGACCACAATTCACATATTAACTGAATAAAGGAAAAATATATAATTATCTTAATAGATGCTGAGAAAGCATTTGACAAAATTCAATACCCGTTCATGATAAAAACTCACAAACTACAAATAGATGGGAGTTTCATCAACCTGATAAAGGGCTTCTATGAAACCTACAGCAAACACAATGTATATTGATGAACTACTGAACGTTTTGCACTTAAGATTGTAAAGATGTCTGTTCTTATCACTTCTATTCAACATTGTATTCAACATTCTAGCTAATGTAGTAATAGAGTAAGAAAAATAAATTAGAAGCACATAGATTTGAAAGGAGAAAATAAAATACAAGATGATCCTGGAGAATCTTGTGGTGGCCAAAAGAAAGAAAATGTAAAAAGATGGAACATATAGAAAAAGCACAGCAGTGAAACTAAGGGAACTCCTAACGTTGGAACAATTTGAAGAAGTGAATAATGATAGTATTGGATTACGGCCCACAGAATAAAATAGAAACACATTTGTTTGCGCTAATATAAATAAATATTTGAATAAATAAATACATAAAAAAGGGGTAATTTTTCTTTACTGAAAAAATTGAACTAATAAATGTAGAAGGAATAAGGAAAATTGAATTATTAGGCCAAGGAAACGTAATAATTGCTGCAGGCAAGATTTATCAATGGTTGCTGAAATTAGAAGGTATATGTACAGTGGGAAATAGGATATTTGTATAGTTTGAAGGTATCCCAAGATATCTACTAATTACAAAGAGAAAAACAGTAATTTTACAATGATGAAACCCAGCAGAAAACACCTTAACCTACTGACCAAGGTTAAGATTATCAGTAGAAATAAGACAAGATCATGTACCTCTTGCTATAATGCAGTAAGAAGGGTATAACATCATTTCTGTGGTATTCTTGCCAAAATGCATTATCTCAATCTAATCATGAGAGGGGGAAAAAAAAGAGGAAAGAAAAAGAATCTAATTGTGAGAAAATGTCAGACAAACCCAAACTGAGAGACATCTACGAAATGAGTAACTGACCAGCAAATTATTTAGCAAAGGCCTGGTCAACAGTATGGTGTCAATAAATATTAAAAAAGCATTTTTTAATGGGTGCCAAAAATGGTTTTTGACCAAACTATCTGATCCAGGGTCTTATGTGATTATATCTTTATGTGGAAAGTGGCAGATTCTGATTCAGTAGGCATGGAGGGAGTATAAGATTTTGCATTTCTTTCTTTCTTTTTTTTTTTTTTTTTAGCTTTTAAGAAACAAATTTTATCCATATTTGACTTTTTAAGGTAAGTGCATAAACCCTAAGTACAATAGTGTGATAAATTTTCACAAGGTAATTTTCACAGAGTAAAAACACTCCTGTAACACCCAGTACATTAACAGAACCCCAGAAGCCCTATTGTGTCTTTTTTTGTGTGCCACTGTCCTGACAGATTAGTGTTGAATATAGCTGAATATTAATTCGTAAGTTGGTATTTATTATACTGAACTGTATTTACTGAAATATCAGGGTGTAGGTTTTTCTACTTTTAGTTTGACAGTTAAAATTCTATGAGAATTTGCCTTAATAGAAACAATTATTTAACATTTCCCCCCTAATTTAGGATAATATTGACTAGCTATCCAACATTTTAAAAAAATTTTTAATTTATTTATTTTTATTTTGTCAATATACAATGTGGTTGATTATTATGACCTATCACCGAAACCTCCCTCCCTCCTCCCT